GGGGCACAAGAGGGAAGTATGGGGAGGGAGGGAGGGAGGGGGGGGGAAGAGGAGGACAAGGAAGTTATGAGGAAACTGCAGAATGGTGGGATTAGGAGAGGGGGGGGGGTGGATATGGGGAGGACAAGAGGAAAACGAGGAAGAGGGAAGTGGACTTAGATTAGGGAGCTAAAAGAAGGGAAGGGAAGGGAGGGGGAGAAGAAAAGAGTTAAGACCGGGTTTTTAAAAGTCAAAGGGAAAAAGAGGAGAGACGAGGGAGGTCATAAGGCATAAGAGAGTTTTAAGGTAAGAAGTTAAGGGATTGAATGAAGGGATTGAGGTAAACGGGCAAGGTAGGGTAAGAGGAGAGGGGGAAAGGGGAGTGATTAGGGAGGCAAGAGGGAGGAGTGGAGGGGGGGGGAGGGAAAGAGGGGATTGGAGGGGGGGGGGTAAGAGGGAGTTCGAGGTGGTTGAGGGAAAAGGAAGGAAAGAGAGAGAAAGGAAAGGTAAGTAAAGGGATAAGTGAAAGGGTAGAGGAGGAGGGGAGAAGAGGCATAAATCAGAAGGAAAAGATGGAGAGGGGGGAAGACAAGAGAAAGGAGAGACAACTAGAAAAAAAAACTATAAAAAAACATATTAAAAGTTTATAAAACTCCCAGTAGTTCACATGAACAAAAAAATGAAACTAAAAAGAAAACAAAAGAACAAGAAAATTCAACAAGGATGTACGAGCATTTAAAGAGACACCCGAAAGAGAAGAAAAAAAAGGAAAAGGAGACAGACACTCACAAATAACCCCCCACCCACCCCACCTACCCACACCTCACCCACCCCTACCCCTACCCCCACCCCCCAAAAAAGAAGAGTAAAAAGCAAAAAAAAAAAAAGCAAAAAGAAAACTTGAAAAAGAGGTAACTCCGATATCAACCTTCAAGATAACATAAAGGTTTGGTGTTGATTTCTTGAAAGCCAGACGAGATAAGCGAAAGAGAGTGAGAGAAGAATACACACACATTCCTTGGGGAGGAACTGTCAAAGATTTTCCAAAGCACGTAGGCGGGGAAAACCAGGTAGAATGAACGGGGAGGCAAGAGAGAGAGCGGGATTAGAGGAGGAGGCATAGCAAGGGGAGAGAAGAGGAAATTGCGAAGGAGGAACAGAAGGAGAGGGAGGTTAGAAGAGAAAATTGCGAAGGAGGAACAGAAGGAGAGGGAGATTAGAAGAGGAAATTGCGAAGTAGGAACAGAAGGAGAGGGGAATTAGAGGAGAAGGTATAGCAAGAAGAGAAAAGAAGTAATTGTGAATGAGGAACAGAAGGAGAGGGAGATTAGAAGAGAAAATTGCGAATGAGGAACAGAAAGAGAGGGGGATAGAGGAGAAGGCATGGCAAGAGGAGAGAAGAGGAAATTGCGAATGAGGAACAGAAGGAGAGGGAGATTAGAAGTGAAAAGTGCGAATGAGGAACAGAAAGAGAGGGAGATTAGAAGAGAAAAGTGCGAATGAGGAACAGAAAGAGAGGGAGATTAGAAGAGAAAAGTGCGAATGAGGAACAGAAAGAGAGGGGAGAAGGCATAGCAAGAGGAGAGAAGAGGATATTGCGAAGGAAGAACAGAACAGAAGGAGAGGGCGATTACAAGAGAAAATTGCAAAGGAGGAACAGAAAGAGAGGGGGGTTAGAAGAGTAGGCATAGCAAGGGGAGAGAAGAGGAAATTACGAAGGAGGAACAGAAGGAGAAGGAGATTAGAAGAGGAAATTGCGAAGGAGGAACAGAAAGAGAGGGCGACAGTAGAGAAGGAATAGCAAGGGGAGAGAAGATGAATTTGCGAAGAAGAAACAGAAGGAGAGGGCGATTAGAAGAGAAGGCATAGCAAGGGGAGAAAACTGCGAAGAAGAAGAAGGAGAAGGTGAGAAAATTGCGAATGAGGAGGAGAAGGGGAAGTCGATTACAAGAGAAAGAATAGAAAAGGAAGAAGAGAAAAAAATGCGAAGGAGGTGCAGAAAAAGAGGGAGACTAGGAAAAGGCATAACAAGGGATGAAAATTGCGAAGAGAAGAGGAGAAAGAGAGGGCAGTTAGAAAAGGCATAATAAAGAAAGAAAATTGCTAAGAAAATTGCGTAGAAAGAGAGGGAGATTAAAAGAGATGGCACAATATGGAAAGAAAATTTTAAAAAATGTAAAGGAGGAAGAAAAACAGAGGAAGATTAGAACAGAAAGCACAGCAAAGAAAAAGAAAAAAGAAAGAGAAAAAGTGGTAGAGAAAAATGGAAGGGGAATATGGAAATAAAAGATAGAAACAGAGGCAAAGAAAAGGAGAGAAAAGGATGAGAATAAAACCATAGAAAGAGATTAATCTAAGAAGGCAAAGATGGGGAATAGAGACTATAGTAAAATAAGAATAAATAATAACATATGAAATAAATATATAAAACTAACGCGCATAAAGAGGGAGAGGGAAAGGGCAAGCAAATGGGAAGAAATAGAAAATGGAAATAGAAAGTGAGACAAATAGAGACTGGAAG